CAGCAGCAGCAGCAGCAGCAGCAGCAGCAGCAGCACCGCGACAAGCTTCTCCTTCCCACACATCAATTCCGTGTGTGCGCTGCGCAAAAATCATGTGTATCAGCATGCGAAACTGCTCTTGAAGCAACGTGTGTGCATACTGCCGACATGAACAAGGATCCCAAACAGTAGCCAGCGTACACGACAGCAACTGCGCGTTCATGTAGCAGTGGTCCGCTGCGGAGACCACGCGCTGCGGGAGAACTCGATATTTTTTAGACTATTGTAGACTATTCTTCTCGGAGAACACTCCCAACAACATATTCGCACGATTGAGAGCGAAGTATCTGATCGAGAGCGAGATCGTGCGATACGATGTAGCTTGTCTACTGCTGAGAGGTAGAGCTTGCTGTGCCGCTTGAATTGAAGGGCTTGCCCATAGCTTCAAGCCGATACCCGGGTCATCCTGCGGGTGTCTCGCGTTGTGGAGCTACACCGCGGAGCAGAAGCTACGGGAGGGCCTACCGCGCCAGGCGACGGCGCCCTGAAACAGTTTCGGGCAGGAATAGCCAATCTGGGGAAATCTAGCAACGTGCGTAGCTCCTCGCTGCTGCAGCCGATCGCAGTGACACGCATATGCACGCGAAGCTGCTGAAGAGAGCTTCAATTTGCGCCGCTTTTTGGAAGAGCCCGTCCCCTGCTTCCCGAGAAATGACGGGAGGCGTCTGGACCCGAATTTCGATTTTTTTTGGTTCTCGCTTTCAATCGGAAACTCCGCTCTCAATCGTGCGAAAACCCTGTTTCCCGTCCAGTAACAAATAAGGTACAAACCGAGGGACGATCGATCGATACGATGTGTTTTTCTCCTACACCCGTACAGTTGCAGAGAGAGACTAAGCTGAATGAATTACCTTTTTCAGAATGAGTGCTAAGTAAGCTGAAGCTGGGGGGGTCGGAGACATCAGGAATAATACGAAGAATACGGCCAACCAATGTCGGCTGCCCACGAGTGCAACATGGTCTAATGCTGATTTTCATCTCTCTGTCGAAGACATTAATTTCCGTCTGCCAGGCAAGGTACCCACTCCTTCGTCCGTACTTTGTATTTTTTGTTAACAATCAATCGTCTGAGTGAGATCGACGAGGGGCGTTTTGCTGGACAAAATGAACGGATTGATTGGTAGGTGAATCAGCAGACGATCGAGCCCACCTCCATGTTCATAGAAAAGAAGGGCTCAATCCCATCCCCACACGCGAGTTCCTCAGCGGTCGCACCGAAGGCTATTATTACGGTGGAACATAGTATTCAAGACCGAATTGGAATATTGTGTATCTTCGTCAATACGGAGTCCCCTATCACAAACTATAGCGCAAATTGACGACAAAGCACAAAGCTCTCTTTCTAAAAAATAAAAAAAAAAAAATTTCACCATGTCTTCAAGTAATATTACGAAATTAGTGTGTGATCGTACCCGGCGAAGTTCCAAAAATATTGAAGCGCGGTGTTCCAACGATGCGGCCCCAGGGCTTGCACAAGTGATCCATATATTGATTGAACAGGATGATACAGTCATCTCAATTGCGAAATATCAAACAATATGTCAGCTTGCACTCCGAATGGCGCCTTCTGTGCAGCCCCTTCGTGTCGCTGTTCGGGAATCAAAGTCGAAAAATATTGGCCCAGAAAAGGGCAACTGTTTTTGGCATATTTTTTTTGGCATTTTTTTCAGCCCTCAATGGCATCTTCCGCGTCCTCACCCAGCCACTCATCCGTCTGCTCTTCCACCCCATCCTCTATCTCATCCTCGGCCGTAGCCTCTTGGTACTCTGCCACTGGATACTCAAGGCTACCGATCGTACCGCTCAGGTTTCCACCA